TTTGAACTCTTACGCTCCTTCTCCTGCTCCTCTTCCGGCGCTTCCTCCGCCCGTTCCCGTTTCCCCTTGTGCTCGTCCCGCTCCTAACCGCCTCCCCGTTTTCCCTGCCGCTCCTCCTCCCACTCCTCCCGCTCCTCCACCCGCACCTCCTCCGCCCCTTCCCGTTTCCCCTTGCACTCCTCCCGCTCCTTCTCCCACTCCTCCCGTCCCTTCTCCCGCTCCTCCCACTTCTCCTGCCGCTCCTCCGCCAAACAACGTGACAAAGATCCCGCCATAGCCCCGCTCCTGCTCCTTCTCCCGCTCCTCCTCCCTCTCCTTCTCCCTCTCCTCCCTCTCCTCCCGCTCCCCCTCTTGCTGCTCCTCCCACTCCGCCTGCTCCTTCTCCCGCTGCTTCTCCTGCTCCTCCCCCGGTTGCTCCCCCTCCTTCTTCCGCTCCTCTTCCCGTGCCATAGCTCCGTCCCCGCTCCTTCTCCCACTCCTCCTCCCGCTCCTTCTCCCGCTCCTCCTGGCGCTCCTCCCGCTTTTCCTCCACCTATATCTCCTCCCGCTCCTCCGCCTCCCGCGTGCTGGTTAACCCCCTCCCGCTCCTCCTCCCGGTCCTTCTACCGCCCCTCCTCCCGCGCCTCCTCCGCCCCTTCCCGTTTCCTCATGTGCCAGCTCCTTCTCTCGCTCCTAACCCCCTCCCCGTTTCCCCTGCCGCTCCTCCTCCCGCTCCTCCTCCTGCGGCTCCTCCGCCCCTTCCTGTTTCCCCTCCCACTCCTCCCTCTCCTCCTCCCGCTCCTCCTCCCACTCCTCCTTTTCCCGCTCCTTTTCTCACCACTCCTCCCGCTCCTCCAGCTCCTCCTCCCGCTTAAATCACCGACACTTTCAGCAAGCAGCCGCGAAGTCAAACCAAAAAAATGACGACACAAAAAGTGCGGGTGCATCTTCGACCGATTCGCATTCCCCGGGTGGTGCGACAAAAATAGTGGACTTTCATCTTCACGACGTGCGCCTGGTGGGAAAACGGGTCCGTGGACGTACATCTTCGTGACGTGCCACCTGGTGGAAAAACGGGTCCGTGGACGTACATCTTCGCGACGTGCCACAACCGCTTCACATTCGCGGGGTCGCACGCGAATGGTCCCCGACAAAACAGCGCCTGGTGGAAAAATGGGTCCGCGGCCCCAACAAAAAAGCGCCTGCCGGGAAAATGGGTCCGCGACCCCACACGGCGGCGCTCGGTTTCTGTTGGGCCCGTCACGCGAGACCCTCTTCTTCCTTGAGAGTATTAGAGAAGAAGGAAAGAGAAGAAAGAATAATGTGTCCGGGATACTGGACCTGGTCGGTGGCTGGCAGGTGTCCCTCCCAATCTATAGATGGGAGGAACCACGGCCAGGAAGAGAGCAGCTATCACCCGGAGCTAACACTAGAGTCCGCAGCTAGGATGTAGGACTACCGTCTTCATCCGAATAGAACACCTGGTCATTATCGCCCAAATACAGGTATAATGACCGGGCGTTATATTCGGGTGAAGACAGTAGGGTTTAAGGCCACCTTAAATTTACTAACTACAATTAAAAGCTATTGTGACATGCATAAATCGAGAAAGCTATCGTACATCTACCTATCTCCGCTCTGTGTGGCGGGCAGCACCCAAGCTCCTAACACCTGGTAGCGGCTGGAAAGAATCACTTCCACAACCAGCCAGGAGGCGCGAGCCAACGATCTCCGCTGGTGAACCCAAAGCATCCCCCAGGAGGCCGCGGGGATTGAAAGGACGACATTGGGTATCGAACCCACGTCCTAAGTGACATTTACGTGCTCAACCAACTGAGCTAGCTGGCGTGTTCTTTTTTAAATGCAACCAGAAAATAAAACAGAGTCGGACCCAGGCTTGGCAAATTTCAGTGTGCAGTGAAAATCAGGGTCGGCAAAAACAGGCTTGGAGGTAGTGGTTGTGTTACGGGAGCCTCTTTTTTTTTTTTCCATTTCTTTTTTGTGTTATGGGAACCTCAGATTTGCGAATACATTTTTTTATGAGCAAGTGGCCTGGCTCAGTTGATTAGACACGCAAGTGGCATTCAAAAGGTTGAGGGTTTAGTCCCCACTAACAACCTGCGGCACTCTTGGTGCCAACCAACTGAGATTGTAGTTGGTTTGCTCCCCCTGTTCATTATTGGGTAGAGTCCTTGGCCATCACGGGTGTGTGTGCGTGTGTGTGTGGGTTGTGTGTGGTGGGTGGAACTTGAAGTGAGTGCTGGCCATAGATACTATTGTTACGCGGATGGGGGCGTAAAAAGTAGATGGGAGGTGCAGCTACTGGCAAAGTGCTCGTCTTTGTGATAACCGCGTGCTTGCTTCTTCCCCCCACCTGGCGGCTCCACCCTATTCCTTGACCACCGTCGATAACGGCGGGAGGGAACATGCTCGCAAGGTTCCTCTGTATAGGCTGGGAGTAGTGATAGGTAGGTAGTGAAAAATTGAGAGAAGAATGTAGCTTAGTTTAGTTTTTTTTTAATTAATATGTAATAAATATATACTGTCAAACAGAGCTACCTGATAAACAGTAGGCAGAGAGGGAGAAGAGGACGCGGACAACAAATGAGGGGCTGAGACAAAGTGTTGCATCGGAGTTTCACCGACTCATGGAGAGAGGCTGAACCCTCAACAGTTTGCAAAATTCCCGAACTGATTACGTTGTAAGTAACAATCCTCCTTAACCCCAGTTGTGGTTAAGCATCAGGGACTGTCCGACAACTGATACCCTGAGGTGGTGGGGACCACCTCAAGGTACCTATGACGAAAATCAATGCAAACTGTCACTAACCCACACCAGATGGAAAACTCTAATAGAATGTCGATTCACGCCCCATCACAAACCAGCAAAACACCCACAAAACAAAGAAAGGTCTATCACAGCCAAAACTACACTCCAGACATGTCGCTGCCTCGATCAATGCTCCGCGTGCATAGGTCGACGTGACCGCCCTCACCATGTCAACTAGCGCACTGTGAACAATCCAGTGGAAAACCGGTTCTTCCCACCTGTCAATCAGCCCCATCCAGTGGCCCGTGTGCATTTTCATGCCGGATTGCGGCACGCAGCAGACCATGGACATCACCCCAAGGCTGATTCTACTTGAGAGGTAGGATTTTTGAATTGTTTTTCGCCAAGTCGGGCAAGAGCTACCGGGCCACCCTGGTAGCCTAGTAAACTGAATTATAGTATTCTCTCAAATTTTGTCATCTTGCGCTACCTACCAGCAGCGTGTCTGGAGTGGCGTGTCTAGAGTGTATTTTTTGTTTGTGACAGACCTTTCTTTGTTTCGTAGGTATTTTGCTGGCTTGTGATGGGGTGTGAACTGACAGTCTGTAGAGTTTTCCATATGGTTTGGATGAGTGATAGTCTGCTTTGATTTTCGTCACGGGTACCTTGAGGGCAGTGGTTGGTGGTCCCCACCACCTCACGGTATTAATTGTCGGGCAGTTGTTGATGCTTACCCACAATCGCGGTTAAGGTGGATTATCACTTACAATATAATCAATTATGGGATTTTATATATATTTATATATGTATATATATATTATATATATATACACACACATATGTATACATCTATATACACATGTATATATATAGAATTTATGTGTATATACATATATATATATATATGTTTGTGACGATATATATATATATATATATATATATCATAGCCTCCTGATGAGTCGGTGAAACTCCGACGAAACAGTTTGTCACAGCCCCTCGTTTGTTGTCCTCTTCTCCCTCTCTGCCTACGGTTTACCGGGCAGTTCTATTTGACGATATATATCACACGATGCCGAAGATAAGAGTTCATTGACAACATGTCACTTGTAGAGAAAAAAACTCGTAGTAACCACTAGGTTGTGTACAACATTCTTTGACATGAGGATATGTTCACATTCACTTCGCTCGCGTTTAGACAAAATGCACGAGTGTCCCATAACACGAACAAACGTTTTTTGACCAAGCATTGTGAGAAAGAGAATGGACATACAATTTTTATACAGCATGAGTCCTCTAGATGTTGTTGACAATTTTTTTTATTTTTTTTTATGCAAACAATTCTATGCAGTTGGTTGTCTTGTTTCCATTACCTGGTTCGCATCGATCAAAAGCAAATGAGTGTCTAGTTGCATCACTCGCCATCTATAAAAAAAATTGAATTTTTATGTACACGTTTGTCTCCGGGTGCTTTAAAATATTAGCAGCCCGTGCTGCAATTAGCCCCTCGAAGGCAGAAAGGCAATCAAATATGAGAAAGAGAACGGAGACAAGTTTCCTAGAGGTGACAAATTCCTCAATTTTTAAATTCATAAATTTGAAAAATGATGGAAAAATGTTGAAGTGGCTGGAGTGAGAGATGCCAACCAGAAACTGGAAGTGAGAGTTGTGCAGTTTCAGTTTGCAGCCAGAAGTAGCAGATCAGATGCATGCTTGAGACAGCGGGAAGTTATTGAGTCAAGCGCACAAATGTTCAACAAGTATACGTAATGCATAGCAAAGGGGTAAAAACAAAAAAAATGCATATCAGAGGAATGTGGAGTTGGACAATATTTTGGGCAACAGAGCATTCTCACCGCAAAGCATACAACAGGGCCAAAAAAAAATAAAAATAAAATGCAACAAACAAACACATTGCAGGTAAAATAGACACGGAACAGACAAAGTCATTACATCTGCGTGTGTATTCAATGCATTTTTTAAACCATATACAGATATGATAGTTGTGTGTGCACTCGATACATTTTTCCAACATATACATATTTGATACTCCCTCCTATCGTTTTCATCTTTAACCCACAATCAAATGACTTAGCCAAGTTGGAAGGTTATTTGCAACTAATGACGAGTCAAACAACTTTAGTCCGAAATCAGAGAGAGAGAGAGAGAAGCACACAACAACGTAGACAAGAACGCCATAAATTATCCCGAACGCGACCCACGTCGTTGAATGTCTTATGAAAAGACCTCAAACACTGTCAAGGTAGCACCCTTCATCATCATCGCCAAAACCCAAGAACTACATTGAACCGGACCACTTTTTGACCCTGCCCGGGTTGTTTAATATTCAATGAGAAGGCCTAAAACACGGTCAACACAAAACTCTTCATCGTCAAACCCAGGAACCATGTTAAACCGCACGACGAAAGTGGCCCAACGTCGCGTTCTCACCAATCTGCCAACAGACACTCGTTTGGGGTGTCATGAAGGAAGGAGTATTGTAGCCGTCCTAGCTAAAGTAGATATAGGAATTTTATACGGTCCTACCAAACAGTTCCCTATCGCAGAATGAATCCTCATCGCATAATTACTTCAACTTTTTTGGTTACCCAATAGTATGTGTGGTCTATAGGGTCTGGCATGTCACAAACCATTACCGAAAGACCCCTCAAAAATTTCCTTTGCCACAAAAAAATGCCAATTCTCTAGGGGGGACACAAATTAGGCCTAAAACAAAATCGGATTTATCCCCTCCTTCGAAAAGCAAGTGTCA